CACACACACACACACACACACACACACACAGTCACCAACAAACCACTGCACACAAAAACACAACTTAACATGTTGATTGGCCCTTATCTGCTTCAGAGCAGTCAGTGTTATGCTGAACAGTACATCAGCCCGGGTTATTGTTCACAGCACAGACACATGGCTGACTGTTCCAGCTCATTTCATGTAAGAAACAACATATTACGTGTGTCACTGGTGTGGTTGTGGATTCATGCAGTCCTGAATTTCAGGGTAAGGCTTCAGGCTTTAAAGCTTACTTTTCACAGGGAAATTATATTGAAGCTTGGCTGAATTTGAAGTGGCTAAGGTAGCCCGTCAAATATTAGCACGTAACACAGCTAGATTTGAAATGTAAGCAAAGAAGGAATCCAAAGTATCAGTTGAAGTTAAACCCTGACAATGTCTTCAAGAGTCAGTATCATGCAAGCCCCAAAAAGGGGATGTGGCAGCTGAAATAGAAGCAGCAGATGATATTCAATTAGCAAAAGAGTTTCTTCAGTTTAAGTAAGGTGATGAAAGGAGCATTTGTCTGCCCGATTTGAAGGAGCCCAGTTCGAGCGCTCTGATGCAATCGGTCTTCACATGCAGCCTCCAAAAGAAGCAGCTCTTGAATTGAGACACAACTCGACTCTTTACTGAGGAAACGTATTGACAGTGAACGACCTCTGTGAAGTATCATGTTCTTTTCAAATCATCAGTTTTCTGTTTTCTTTTGGTGTTTTTACTTCTTGTGTCAGTGTACTTCCTGTCGTCATATGTTTCCCAGTCTTTTAACAATCCTCACCTGATCTCCGCTTGCTTACCTGTCCCTGCTGTTTTCCTCCCGTTGAACCTGTTTATGTAATGCACCGTGTTCCCTTGTTCTTTGCCAGATTGTCTGTGTATCTCATTGTGTGTGCATTGCTCTCTGATTTCTTACTTGCCTTTTGGTGTCTTTTTTTTGCTTCTGACTGTTTGCCTTCATCAGACTGCTGACCTCAGTACGATCCTGGGCTGTCTGAGTTAAGATCTGGCAGTTTTGAATTTTACTCTTCTTTCTGTGTCATTCTCTGCACCTGCGTGTCAGTTTCCACCTCAGTTTGTTTTTTACACTCCGTCTCTCTCTCTCTCTCTTACTTTGCTCACTGCTTGCCCTCAACCTTTCATTCTGATCCTTTCTTTTGTCTTTCCATCTCTCTATACCAGGTGGAGCAGTTTAAACAGGATCCCAGCCCCTCAAAGTGTCTGCACTCAGTGTTTGACGTAGACACCGGAGACGAGGTTCACTCCTACAACGACTACCACCACCTGCAGGTCAGCCATTGAGCAGACATGTGAAGAAACGCTTCGACAAAAAAATCCTTTACATGTATGCATGTAAACAATGAATGGGTGTGTTTGGATATACTGTATGCATAACTATATATGTATATATATATATCCACTTCAATTAAATATCCTGATGGAGTGCTCATATGTAAGGTTGCCAGTTTCAAAGAGTGAATCTCACTCATAGACTGTATATTAAGATGGATGAGATGGATAATATTAAGATGTCTGCACTTCCTCACATGACCTAGAAATGTCGCTAAAATATCCTGGATTATATTAATACTGCCGTTTTAGGTAACAATGTCCCACTCACACTTGTGCATGACTGGAACCATCTTTAAAAAATATTTTTTTGGGCATGTTCTTCTTTCACATTGTAGTTTGGGTTATGTCCCACCCATTAACATGGAGGAGGCAGGGTTTATGACCTATTCTGCAGCGTGCCACCAGGGGGTGGTGGAGACGTTGTGGCTTCTTTTTGGGGAGCAGTCATGTCATCCATCATTATATACAGTCTGATGTAACAATGTAAGAAATAAGTGAACTGGCTTTGGTGAGAAAAGAAACTCAAAGAGAAGTGACCCTCGCTAAAGATGAATGAACAACTGGATAAACAAATTAGACTATCAACCTCTTAATGACAGGTTTAGTTATTGAGAGTCATGCTGGAGAATTAAATTGTCACTTGCTCTTTGCTCTCCTTGGCATGCATGTATAGTTGGAAAAGGGACTTGGCCTCAGAGGTGGATGTGCATTCAATTGGAACTAAACGACTTATTATTCTGTCAATGCTATAGACAGGGGTCAATTTGGTGTGTAATGTTTGGATGGAGGGCGGCCAATAAATCAATAGAGGTAGATGGAGAATCAAAATACAACCACAAGGTTACTTGCTTGTGACAAAGAAAAACACAGAAATCATCAAAGCTGTATAAATGTTAAGCACTTACTCTGTACCATTCATTTCTTGGCTGTTATTTCTTTTCCAGTAACTTTGCTGTGAAGTGAATTGCATTATTGATGATACCAATCCAATGCCAAAGGCCTAATAGCTAATATACTGCTCATGCCTCAGCCGCTGCAGTATGTAGGAAATCAAAGTCAGCTGTATTGGCAAATTTGGAAATATCACACAGTGCACAAATGGTGGAGTTTTCTTTTATTGGTATCTCATCTCTCCTTTCCTCTGTTATTGCTGCAGATCGATGCTGTTTCTCTGTTTCTGCTGTACCTGGTGGAGATGATCTGCTCTGGTCTTCAGATCATTTACAACACTGATGAGGTAAACAAGACACTAAAATGGCTGCTGAGGTGATCGATTCTGGACGCTAAGGATTTACACCCTGAGCAGTTGATTTTATCTGATGTTTTCTGGTCCATCTACCAACAGCAATCAGTGTCCATCTTAGGTTAGGCACTGACATTATTTTAAGTAATTTAGGTCAATTATCCTAGGTCAACTGGAAGTATGTTTAGTCTTTCTAGTATCGCAGCTCCAGCAATGGAAGTGTCTGTCAACTACTTTGGTTAAAGCTGACATATCTTAACTATTGTATGCATCCTGACACTCGTAGGGTAAATCCTACGTACTGGATTATTCCTGACTTTTTATTTAGTGGCAAAAACAGGTCAAAATCAAAATGTGTCTACTTTGTTTTATAGCCAAGTACCTGCAAGAGAAATGCCATAACCACCAGTCTCAAGAGTTATTTGCTTTTTAGTGCTAAATCACAAACACAGTATTCTTGAATGGAGAAAGCAGTAAACATTGTACTTGCTAAATAGCAGCATGTTAGCGAATGGTGAATGGTTTTATCTTGCCTTTTTACCATTGTCAACTGGGATTGGCTCCAACCCCCTCGCTACCCTTAAAGAATAAGAGTTACAGATAATGGCTGGATGGATGTTCTCTAATAAAATGTCCTGAAGCATCTTTAAGCTTTTCATTTAAAAATGTTATTGTGAAAATGTCTCACTGTAAAACAATGTTTACGCTAAAACTAATTTCAGACCCACTGATATTCACAAACATAAACATTTCTGATGCTACCTCCTGAGAGTCCAACTAGCTGCTATAAAGTGAGACCTAGTGGTTTATAAAGCCAGTTAGATATACCCTAAATCCCCCGCTGATATCCTAGAGTCGACACAAATGTAGGATCAGGGGACAGTATCTCACTTTTATAGCTCGGCTCACATTTATATTTTTTCTGAGACGCTCAATTGACTTTCAACAGGGAAACGTTTCGATGATTTCATTGTGGGGGCTTTAATGTTCCCCTGGGAATCCAACCAGTAACGTCTTATTTGGCAGCACACCACTTTTATTCATGACTACCACTGAAAAGCTTCTTTGAATGGTTCCTTCTTAGTTTGATGTATCTGTCCGCTGTCAGATTTTGTCTTCTTTACGCACGGCTCTTAATAAACCAACAAGGCGATGCAGCTGTTAAGTTTACGTGCTGTGTTGTTTACTGTGTGGCCTTCAGGAGCAGTTGGAACTTCATTAATTCTGTCAAGTTTTTATAGTCGGCTTATTTGCAGATTTACTAACTGCTACAGAGTGCTTGCTGCTGGTAACAGAGTTCACCATTTGTTTGCTAAATTGGGCCTTATCTTAAGAAAAACATAACCAACATGGTACTTATTAATGGGAGCATGCTGTCTTCACACAACCACTCCTCAATTCTCATTTTCCTCATTATCTCATTCACTGATGGAAAAGAAATTGACATATTGTTACTTTTTATGAGGGCTGCCCTGTTTCTGCAGCAGCTGTAATTTGCATGTTTAAGCAGTACTTATCAGGTTGTGTAATTCAAACTGAAGCAGTCTGACCCCCATCGTCCTCCGCCACCCACCCTCGTATGCAAAAACATCAAATCCCCTGAGCAAAAAGGACTTGTAATTTGTGTTCCCACTGAAAGGCATTTCATTTGAACTAATCACATTATTACGGCATCATTTATTAGTTTGTTGTGAGCTGCTTGTGAGATCCACTAGCATTTACTTAACTGAGCTGGAAGCTGCATTGCAGTATTTCTTTTTTTTATCCATGGCTGATGCATGTCCTCTGAGAAGATGCACTATCGACCTCTTTCCAGAGGACATTTTCAGTTTCATTCAGTATGAAATGGAGCATCTCATTAGCTTGTTTTGATCTTCGTCTTTGTGTGTTTTTCTTTTTTCAAATGATACAGGTGTATGCATTATCATAAGAACATAGCATGGTTCTGGAGAATGTGTGCATATGTCCTCCAAAAGAAAGCAGCCCTGGCAGCAGGGAGATAGAGAGGCTTGTTTGGCTGGTGGGCAGTAACATTCATTAAGATACCATTAAGATACTAAAAAGTTCCCCTTGTTAATCACTCCTCTCATAAAACCCCAAATAAGAGACAGAGCAAACACCTTTCTCTCTTTCTCTCTCTTCCCCTGCCTCATCTGCTTAGCTCCCTCCTTCCTTCACAGTCTGTCCTATTTAAGTCCTCACACAGGTTCTATCTGCTTCTCTCCATCTTTCTCCTTCACTCTATCATCTCTCTCTCTTCTCTCTTCCCTGCTTTGCCATTTTAGATTAAATCTCCCGTCAGTCAGGCACACACAAGCACGCACGCACGCACGCACGCACGCACACACACACACACACACACACACACACACACACACACACACACACACTCTGCTACTTTCAGGTCTTTTTAATCATTCAAGGCCTTTAAGTCATCACACATTCCATGTCTCTCTCTGTCTGTTTTTTTTCTTTATGTGCACATTGGTTTTGATATGTATTTTTCAGCACAGCCCATGTGGGCAAGATGATAGATAAGAGAAACTTCCCAACTTTGCTAATTATAACTTAAAACTTATGAGTCCACTGTCTTTTTTTGAGGTGATTGAATCAAGGACGCTGCTGATGGGTTCCTGGAGTCTGTAATGAAAGGGTGATTCACTGATAATTCAAAATCTGCCATTAATGCAATTAAGTTGTGATATGTGTCCCTTTAGTCTCATGAGACACAATGATGCTATAGTTTCACATGCTGCTGCCATAGCTATTTAATTACACTTTGTCAGTGGCTGCAGGGCGAGTTTGATTGGAGCACTGATGAGGAGTCGGCTTTCATGTCCACTTTACTAACCTCTCCAATGAGAGAGAGAGTCACACACCTCAACCCAGATCAATATCAAAGGTTGCACATTATTGTACATATGCATGTACAGGAGACTGTGCGTGTTATGTGTAGCTGCAGCGGAAGATGTGTGTGTGTGTAAGATGCTTTATGTTTGTATGCAGGTAGTCTGTATTGCCTTCCTGTGTTTCATGTGTGTTTTCTGTGTGCAGGTTTCCTTCATCCAGAACCTGGTTTTCTGTGTGGAGAGGGCCTACAGGGTGCCTGACTACGGCATGTGGGAACGAGGCAGCAAATACAACAATGGCAGCACTGAGCTGCATTCCAGGTCTGTCAGTAGCTCAGCACCACAGACACACACACAGAAACACACATCAGTAATTGTACATATTGTAATGAGTGCGGTATGCCGATATGCAGTCACTCTGAAGGACGACTTCGCTTTGCATATCTGTAACATCCACAACACTTAACCAAGGTTGTCTACATCCCTGTTGCCAGCTGCATCAGTGTAGTTTACCACTCACCAGCATGCGTTGGTGTCGATAAAAGAGAAACAATACTTGGATCACAGAGAAGCTACAGGAACGGTCTGACCGAAATTGGTTTTTATTTTCTCCTAACTGCAGATGGGAAGCATGCTGTAAAGAATAAATAAACTATGGACTCCTAGTGAATATATACTCCCAAAGCTTTATAGAACAGTGTCCCTGCTGTAAATTTTACTGTTGTGCGTTAGAGTTTCATAGATTCTGCTGCCAATGCCAGTGGTGTGTGTGTGTGTGTGTGTGTGCATGCATGCGTGCGTGCGTGAAAGCAAGAGGGTCTTCAAAAATAAACTGAAGTAAACAATCTGTGCCAAATACAACAGGAGAGAAGTCATCCGATAAATGTCTCTCTAACCTTTAACACAATGTGTAAATGGGTTTTAATATAAATGTCAATTCAACCAGGGTGAGAGGGAGGGAGGATGTAAATGGAAGAGAGGTGCGAAAGGAAGGACTGACTGCTGTGAAACTAATGTCCAGGAAGGAATGTAGTCAGAGATAGAACGAAGTTATAGACATTATGAAAGAGCGAGGATGCAGTGTTGCTTTCTCCCAGGCTAAAAGCTTTTATGATTGATAACATATTTGTCTCCAGTGGCTAGTAGACTTGTATTAAGGGGGCATTCACACCACTGAGGGTTGGGCAGAGTTTTACTTTTATTTTTATTGATCTGAGACCAGAACATAAAATGTACCACATACAAGTCATTTAAAATATCAGAAAGCAAATGTAAATCTGTTTTGAAAGGAAATTCATTTAAATTCTTCCTCTGAACAAGGATTACAGAACGGATTTTTTTTTATCTTTTTAAAAATGCCAAGCCTTTTAGTCAGCTTTTGTTTGATGTTCATGTTAATTGGTGGATACCTCCAAAAAAAACATCTTTTTGTGCTATAATCTTTGCCTGTATTAAAGCTGGATTCTTTAAATGAGAAAGAGAAACCATTACATTTTGGTGCAGATTTGGATGAAAGTGCAAAGATTCTGGAATATTTCACTATCTTGTGACATTTTGTACCCTTTAGGATTCCTCAGAAAATTCATGGAATAAAGGGGACTGATATTATTGAGTTTGTGCAATTTGGTGCAGATCCAGATAAAAATTTGGCCTAATGAATTTAAATGTAGTTTCATTAAGAGACTGTTGGGCCTTTGCGGAGGTATTGCCTCTAAATGCCCCTCTAGTAACCTCATAAAGTTCATATGAGGAAAGCTTCAGACTCAGATCAACTTCAGCATTTGAAGTGGTGTTTGTTTACACCTGCTGAAAGAACTAATACGAACTCGTCTCCATCTATTCCTGAGGGAAATATCTGTATGTTTGGCTGCTAAATGCTTCACTCATTTGTAGGTTGACACGTGACTGAACATGATGCTGCTGAGAGTGGTGACAGAGAATTTAATGAACTATAAGTAAAGTTTTGGGCTGTAAAACCGCAAACTAACTATCGCTTACACATTAAAACAACTGCATAGTTACATTTTTCTTTAACCATACCTCATGAATGTTATTTTAATACAAATAATATAAATTCATGGGGGGGAACCAGCAAGAAATTCAGTAGCACACTGTACCCATTCCACATACTTAACACTAAGGCTACAGCGTAGGGGTCCGCGTCGACCCAGTATCAGCCCAGTAGTCTTTGCGTAATCTTGCTGACTAACAAACAAACAAACAAACCCACCAACTAAACACTTGGGGTGCAAATATAACCTCCCTGGTGGAGGTAACAATATTTTTGCAAAAGGACGCAGCAGCAAATATAGAAAGTATGGTTTCTTTAAAAAAGAAGAGGATCACCAGGTTGGTGACGTGTATGTACTGATGGAAAGGTCATATCAACCCAATTCGTTAACTACATAACCTCTATCAAGAAGTAACTAGAGCATCAATAATTTGACATATTAACTTCTATGATAATAAGGATTTCTGACCTCAGCTCAGTCCATAGCGACTTGGCTTGGGAACCGGAGGGTGGCCAGTTCAAGTCCAGCGTGGACGGAAGTTGGAGAGGTGCTAGTTCACCTCCTGGGCACTGCTGAGGTGCCCTTGAGCAAGGCACCGAACCCCCCAATTGCTCCCCGGGTGCCTTCATGGCTGCCCACTGTTCCGTGTGTGGTCACTGTGTTGATTGTGTTCCGTGTGTGCTCCGTTCACACAGATGGGTTAAATACAGAGGTCACATTTCCCCATGTTTGCATGTTGCATGCTGTGTGTGGGACCATAAAGAGGAATCTTAATCTTAAAACATCAGCACTGCCACTAAATTATATTGAGTTTTTGTTACGTGCTCTTAACTGATTTATCTTCCAAGGAGGAACTGGCCTCCCTCCCTATCCTCAGTTTCTACCACCGCATATCTGGAGGAGGCATGTTTCTGTTTTTTTTCAAGGATATTGGCAGCAGCTTGCCAAGATATCCTCAAGAAAAGATAACAAATTCACAGTGTTCACTGTGTCTTTTGCCTCTTATGTTTCCTTTCCTTGTCGTCATGCTCTGGATTTCAACGATTAGTAGGCGAGCGTACATACGTAGTTGCGTAATATGAATAAAAAATACAAATAGTGAACTGGGGCATGGGCAGATACAGAATGGTTCCATGCAAATAGGATGTGTAAATAATCAAACTGAGCAGTCATTTCTACTCCCAGAGTGCCGTTGGGCACAGAAAGGCTCAGAGAAAACGAGAGCAGGACAGGATGTGTTCGTATTGAATGTGTGAGAGAAGTCCTTTGTCGATATCAAATCAAATGAATCATTTAAATTGCTTTTGCGTCATGTTTATCCCAGCACTCGGTCAAACAGATAGATCGGAGCAGTTTTATTTAAAGTAAGATATCTAATCTGATAATCATGATCTGTACTCAAAAATCTAAAGTTGTGATGAGATAAATGTTGAAAAGGACTGTGCTCATATTTTAAGAATATTTCATAATGGTGTTTTTCTTTTCATTTCACAGTACAAAATAAAATATACAGGGTGAAAACATGATTAATGCTATGTTTGCCCTCTTTATAATGTTCACTGTGAATCATAGCCAGATAACAACAGTTTAAATGGTTTTTGGTCATTATATTACTAACTAATGATAATATTGACTTTGGACAACTTCTAACTGTAATTACATTGGGTCCTTCACTGCTAAATATTGTGGTCCTCTCTTGTTGAGGAGCATTTACCAGACTCAAAAACCTTCCTGTCTTCTCAAGCTTTTGAGCAATGTTGGTGTGAATGAGTGTGTGTGTGAGTGTGTGTCATTGAATAATGGGTATGTTTCCATACTGTATGCTGCTTCCTTATAATCGCTAATGCTATGCCACTGTGCAGCATATGTTGGTTGTTTTGTTTATGTATTAAAATGTTAAATGTAAAGTCCATTGCACTTGAAATGTGCTTTATAAAAAACCTTGCCTTGCCTATTTCTGTGTTGGCAAACTCTCTCCTACCACCCTCATCAACTGATAAATCCATCTTGAAGCACCTGTTCAGCACCACACAACTGACACACAGTTAGTAACTATAGCGAATAAACACATATTTCTCTCATAAATTCAGACCAAATAAATGAATAATTAACTTACACTTGTCAGGTTGCTAGAAGCACTACTCCAAAGGAATGCTAATGTTGCTCTGTGTCTGTTTGATGTGTAAATGGAAAACCTTTAGTGAGCATGTTCCCCACATCCACTTTAAACATTTCATAATATGCCAGTGTCAATCTTAGACCTGCAGTAACTCTTCTTTAGTTTTTTTTTTTTTTTTTTTATTGTGACCATTTTATTGTGGGCTATTGGGATTAGTTACACATTACACAAAACTGTTACATCTACAGCTTTTTAGTTGACATGTTAAGCATATAATATTTGCTTGATTAAGAAGTTATAGATGCACATTTTCATTTCAGTCAAATATTGACTCTCTTTTAGCTCAGTATTTGGTCTCAACCAACACCCAAGTGAAATATCTGTCTCTTTAGCTACTAAATGCTCAATTGGGTAAAGGAAACAATTTTTCACAGGGAACAGGAATTCAATGAGTCACAAACTCAGTGTGAAGTGATGTAAAGCTGGACGGATAGTCACATGATTTTCTCCATAGCTTTGTGTTTTTCCATTTTGTTAGATTGTTATCTTATCTGCAAATCTTCATTACCTCTGAAAAAGAGGTTGCGTTTTCACTCGAACTAGAATTAAGATTTCACAAAAACAACTCACAGGATTTCTACAAAGGTTGGTGGAAGTACATGGTGTGTGTCAGGGAAGAACCCCTTACATTTTGGCACAGATTAGGATCAGAGGATGGATCCTGGGATATTTTTTGTATCTATTTCTTTAACACTGGAAATAGGGCATTTCATTCATGGATCTTGATAAAAAAAAAAACACCAGACACATTGAGGGAACTGATATGTATGAGTGTGTGAATTGCGTTGCGGCCTGATTGAATTTAATGGGACTCGAGGTATGTGCTCTACTGAGTGCCATTCCGGTTATAGCTGTGTTAACAGCTTGTTGTGCTGATTAAACCCACAGCAAACTTGGGGAAACAGGGATCATACAAAATGCATTGGGGAAAGGCATTCAGTGGTGTTTGGTAATAGGGGCCCAACTAATATCCGAAATACGAAGAAGCAAATGAAGCAATCAACCTAATGTGACCTTGATGTAAAGGCATTTACTGTAAGAGTAGCTGCATATTGTTTTGGCAGTCTTATGGACTAACAGTCTTACAGCAACATTTTCGTCAGCTGAAAGTGTTGCATCATGATGCTGTTTCCTAGTATCACTTTAAAACACCTCCTGTTTCCTGACGAAGCATCAAATCTCCTCTATCTGTGTGAAGTGCTGACAGCCCTACTGGCCACTACTGGTCATTTTCCTGTATATGTGTGTGTTTGTATCTTTCTACAGATCTTCTGTCTCAGAGCTCTTTTCCAGACTGAATTTGCCAACCGCCCGATGTATTTTAATCATCGATTCAGGCTTCACTAATGGCATTGAATCCATTTTTGATATGTCAGCAATTCTGCTGCCAGTCTTCGCCCAGTTTCCTGCTATTGTTTTTTTTTTTTTACCTCCCCCTTTTCTTTCCCAGGGAAATCTTGGCAGTGTAGAAAGGGAAGAAAAATGACAGTGGAATTGATTCACATTTAGTCTGCATCTCAATCAGAGTAGCCAGCCACAATCTCAGGAGCTTCCAGTTTATTGAATCTGAGCTCATAGCAATTTAATCAATTCATGTCATCCTGAGTGCTTTGTACTTTTTGCTTTTGACGATTGAAGGATACTTATGGTGGTATCACTGCCCTCACCAGAACACAAGAATTGTTGTCATTTTCATGGATTGATGTAAGATGTTTCTTCTCTCTGCAGCTCTGTGGGTCTGGCTAAAGCTGCTCTGGAGGCCATTAATGGATTCAACCTGTTTGGAAACCAGGTATTTGAATAATTCACCTACTCCTACATTTTCTCACCCTCGTATGTTTTCACCTGTGTCTTGTCTAGTTGTGTCTCATGACACAAGATCCCATTATAGATAGCCGGCCTAGTTTCTAATTCAAGAGAGGTCTGCAGAGGTTCATTACAGCTCCATACCTCTGCAAGATGCTTGATGCGTGCAGTGTCCTCAGAAGGTGAATTCATGGAAAGGCATGGCTGTAGGCATCATTACCATAGTATGGATACAAGATTTTATCCAAGAAGGACGTTGGACCATCAGGAGATTCATTAACCTTGTGTTTGACTCTGCAAATTGTTTGTGTTTCTGCTGACTTTGAATGATAACCACAGTTTATTTTCTCTCACTCTGCTTTACACTGTCCATTAGTGATTATATGTATTCTTTTTTCTTGCCTCTGTGGAGAGGAGGAGAAACGGGGATATTTGTTATATATCTGCTAGTGGTTTGAAAATGAAGCCTCCCACTTGACAAGCCTCCTCCTATCTTTCCTTCTTCTTCTTCCTCTTTTTTCCAGTTGTGCTCCACTTTCTCCACTTGGCTTCTCCAGCCACCTAATGCTTCTGAACATGGAGTGTTGTTGTAATCGTGGCGTGGGGCTGTGAGGATGAGTGCATATTGAAGTCAGCGTTAGTGTTTCTTTTCTGAACAGCTGCAAAGTGAGGGCTATAACCGTGCCTGGAAATAGATTCTGTCACTGAGCTCAGCTTTTTCAAATAATCCATTTGTATATGCTGCTTTATGATCCATGATCCACACTCTCTGTGTATCTGTGCGTGTGTGTGTGTGTGCAGTTTCTTGTCCCACTGTGGGAAAGTGCTACAAGTTATTCACATGCTTATAAATGATCACTATCATTCTTGATTTTTCAGGTAACTCTCATCCTTCCAACACAAGTTAGACTCTCCCCTCCCCCAAAACCCTTTAACTGCAACATTAAGCACATTATGAAGTCGGCTATCACATTTTACACCTGCTGTAGACTCTTGTGGGTGTGTGATACATTTAGCCTTTGTACTAGATCAATGGACAGGCAGCTTTCAGTTTCATCAAGGTTTGATTTTCCATCCTCCTCTGGAGTCACAGAAACGGAGGCAAAGATGGCAGCTTTGAGGAGTGATGAGTCGAAGTGGGTGGATAAAATTAATCTCTGTGAGAGGAGGATCCTTAAACTTTAAAGTCGGTCATCAAATTCACAGAGCTGTGTACACACGGATGGACAATCAAATCCTAACAGGTTACGCCTTCTATCCAGGGATTGTCACCTAATTCACACAGTCAATGAGCAGGGGTGCAGTGGAGCGGACACACACCTGCCTCAATCCAGCAATGTCCTCTTTTTTCTTAGTTATTTATATTCCCTTAGAATAGTTTAGTTTTATTTGCACACATGAATCTTTGAGTTTCATTTGTGCATATCTCTGCACAGAAAGTTGATTATAGGGCCTTTGAAAGGAGTATGTATATTCTACATTTTCAAACTTTAATAATATACAATAATAACAGCAGCAGCGACACTGATGCCTTTCTGGAATAGATTATGGTGGCTCATAATAGACTCATATTGTATCACATTTTCATAATAGAGTGACAAGGGCTTAATCTCTTGAGTAGGTGGTAGTGGTTCTGATTTTCTCTACCACTTGTTGATATTTGATACATCTTCCTTAGCAGTATGTGTATCCAGAGTGCCTTGCAGTTTGGTTTTCAGAAACTCCCACTTCCTTCCAGAACTGTTTATAGCAATATGACATTTTTAATGAACGCTGAATGATGTAAGCAAATTAACTTTGAAAAGCATTTCAAAATCAGCTGGACTCTTTTAAGCACTGCAACTGTTGTTAACATTATTAGGGTAGGCGTAAAACGTAATAGCAGTACTCGTGAGTTTTCTTACATTGTGCTGCAGTAGCAGCAGAAAAGGTTTCTCCTGATGTGTCACGCAGCTGCCTACATCAGTGGCCAGCAATCCACTGCATTATGCAAACTACCATAAGAAAGCTTGCTGATTCGACTAAAAGTCCAGACAAGACCGTTTTTTGGAGTGACAAAAATAGACTCTGACAATAATCATACATAATACATCTCGCATTACATTAGAAACTCCTTAGCAGGTTGCAGAAATTGACTCAGTTGGTTTTATGTGGGCAAGGCTAATGGAGAAATGAACAGACCAGGTTTGACCACTTGCCTGTAAAAACAAGTAAAACATGAACTGCCGCCCTCCCTCTCTCCCAGAGTTGTTTAAGTGCACTGGACACACAGGCTGACTTTTTCCAAGCATCACGTTGTTGTTGTACATGGGGACTTTTCAAACGATGGGATGACTCTTGACTCTTCTTCAAGCACTCCCACACTGTACTTCAAAAACACATGCAACCCAAAAATACCAGCCTGCTTTTACGGTGAGAGAGTGTGTTTTGATGTGCGGAGGTGTGAGATGTGATGGTGGGCGCTTTAAAGTGGGTTTCAAATGAGCTATTCGTAAGTTTTGCTAATGCAACATAACCAGCCCACAACAGTTGTGGGCTGGCTATGTGGCATTAGCAAATTTCACTATTAAAATGTCATGGCTCGATATGCAAAGAGTTGTGCAGCTACCTCTTCTGAAGTTAGTCCCTGGCCCATCTCATCACTTTCTGATACTGTAGCATCCAGTCTCTTTGCTCAGATGATGTTTTGTCTATTGTCTTTTAAACACAATGAAAAATGTACAAATAGCACAACATTTTTGCTGTACGCTCTATTTTTTCAGATAAATAATTGAGGATTGTGCATTTCTGTGGATATATATAAAAAAGACTATCTTTTGTTATGTAAATCTATGTTGGTGTTGTGTCTGTAAAAGGTGAATAGTTCTGCTGAGTCAATGATGTTGTGTTATGTATGTGTTTTGCTCTGCAGGGCTGTTCATGGTCTGTGATATTTGTGGATCTGGATGCCCACAACAGGAACAGGCAAACCCTCTGCTCCCTGCTGCCCAGAGAGTCTCGCTCCCATGTGAGTCCATGTGAGATTTGTAGAGATCATGTACAATGAAAACATGCATTTCTACATCTGTATTTTCAGACTTGTTTGTACAGTTGCTTAAGGGACAACAATGTCCACCTCTCCATCACTTTGGCCAAGTCTTAACATCCATTATCATGGGATGTTATACATTCTTGGATCCATGGCATTAAGTCTACTGACTACTGGTGATCTTGTGACTAATGTTTTGTGAATTATCTATCTGTTAATGTTTTCAATTGGCATTCCAGCAGATACATTTAACTTTCTCTAGTGATCCTATGACCATTAACTATGGGTTTAAGATCTGTGATTTTTAAATTCATCTCAACAGACCTTAGTGCTTATTGGCAAATGTTAGCAGCTAACAAGCTTATCTAAGATGACTCACATGGTTAATGTTATACCTGCTTGCAAGCTGATGTCAACATTTAACTTAAACTATGCCTACAACCTCAGGTAGAAACTGGTAGGCTGTAGAATGTTTTGTCTTGTTAAAACAATTATAATATTTTACTTCCATGTTGGATTAAAAAGGACACCATGTATTCATTCATTATATCACAGCATAAAATGATGTATTTTTTTAAATCATTTAGGCTCAGAGCTAGAAAGCTGATCTCTGTGTGAGCTTAGTAAAATGTCATCTATTGCATGTTGTTGCAGCCTCCTCCCCCCTCCTCGCTCACTTTGACTCTGAGGAGCAGCTGTGTGCATAATCCCTACCATTCAACGACTGAAATAGAAGCCTGCCACACACATGCCAAATTTTAAAAAGGTTAATTTCACACATCGAACAAACCACGTACTTCGACGGTGCATTTCCCTCATGGTGCCCTTCAGTGCACTGCCCATACCTGGGCTTTTTATGGTTCCATGTTGAGTGGCGGCAGAGCTGCAGGGAGGTGAAGTTTGATAAGGCAGCAGAATGGAGAGTGAAGGCAAAAGAAAAATCATTCCTTTCTCTCCGCTCCACTTAAATGATCACAACTCTCTCACTGTGAGGGCTGAATACTTCAGGCAGAATAGCCGCCATCAGTGTGCGGGGAAATTAGTGTAATTGGACGACATGGCAGAGATTGACGTTAAGAAATGTAGTAAAGAGCGAGAGAAGAACATACCAGATGCCGTGAAGAGAACCAAATTATCAAGACATTACCTGTAGCTGTTATGCTATTGCTGAATGTTGGAACACAATATTCAATTCTAGACACATTCAATACTAGCACCAAATGTGTTCTGCTAGCTGCCACAGCTGTCGAGGTTGTTAACATGTAGATTGGTATTGTAAAGTCGAACAATAAGAGGGAACTGGAGTAGACGGAGCATCAGTTGGCTCCTCCGTGAACTGTAGAGATCTGAGCAAATTAAAAATAAGATGATAGTACAAGACATAACAGTGGCATCAAACAGTTAAACACATCTCACACTGACAAACTGGTTCATGGCTGTTTGTGACACAAAGACAACACGTCGCTGCTGTTATTAGTGCCGTCAGCACCTAGGCAGCAGAGCCCACACAGAACATGGAGAGCAAGTCTTATTTGTGGTAACTCTTTTGCATTTGAATAAAGCTTAAATATTCATAACTCTTTGCAGTGATGCTGGTGCTTAATAGCTTTCATTTCCATTTCTTAATAGAGTAGCCATTCAAAAATGTAATGAGAGCATTAGATGACCAGTCATAATAGTTTGTCAGGCCTAATAACAATATTCATTCCTAACGATTGCTCCAATTGAAATTTAATTTTGCAGTCCTTGATTTTAAATAAGGCAACTGGGCTGTTCATAACCAAAGGCTTTCACTCGTAAGCTGTGAATCCAGTCTTCACACCCCTTCACTATTTTCACATCTGAAAAAAAGTTTTAGTTCAAGAACCTCTGGCAGCATTTACAACCTTGAGTCTTCTAGTGCAACCGTATACCAGTTTTGCCCTCCTGGATTCTGTGATTATGTATAATTCCTCTTTGTGGCTCTTTCAGGTTGGGTATGGACCATTGGTGGGCAGCCATTTTCAGGTCTATTCAGAGATGTGTTGATTGTATTCAAGTCACGGCCCTTACTGGAGCACTGAAGGACATTCTCAGAGTTGTCCCTTAACTACTCTGCATTGTGTTGGTTGTGTGATGGGGGTCATTGTCTTAATGGAAGGTTAATCTTAAACCCAAACTGAGGTCAATGATAAGCTTTATAATTGCATTACAACCATTGCTCAACAGTAGAGATGTTTCAAGTAGAGATTTTCCTTCCCAATACCAATTCCGATATCTGGCCGAAACTGAGTTCTGATCTGATACCAGTGAATTAAAAAACCTTTTTAACATCTATATTTTACTAGCCCTGTATGCTTTTTATCAGAGATCAGTTTGAAATATTACCAAATTGCTGACATTTTAACTTGTTTGTCCAACGTTCCACTAAAATTGCGGACGTGGTATCGGATTGGTAAATTGATTTGCATACTTGCCAATGCCGGGTTTTCCAAGGCTGGTAATCGGCATCAGAACGTCTCTACTGTACAGTGTCTAATCTCATCGAGAAATAAAACTTTGGGACGGTTGTTAAAATTACATTTTCTCTGCCTGCAGAACACAGATGCAGCCTTGCTTCCAACGATCAGCTATCCTGCCTTTGCGGTGGATGATGATGCTCTGTACAGTCAAACACTGGACAAGATAGTTCGCAAGCTGCGGGGAAAATACGGCTTCAAACGTTTCCTCCGCGATGGCTACCGCACGGCCAACGAAGACAAGGATCGTCGCTACTACAAACCTGCTGAAATGAAGGTGGGTGTTGTAGATAAATAATAGGTAAACCCACAAAAGACCTGGAATTTTGAATGTGCTACTCGAGGTTTCATGCAACTGAATCATATGAGACTTAAATACAAGAAAGAACTTGGCCCTTGGAAGCACCACTGTAGACAAAAGTCATGATATACAGAATGACCTGTTCGAAAGGTTAGAGTAAAACCAATTCTACATCTGCAACTTTGCAGACAGGTGAATAAATATCACGGTCCGCTGGAACCCAAGCTGATTTTCAGGTCATGGATATTTAAAAAGCTATTCTGGAAAACAGGATACCATATGTCTCCACAGTGATCAAAATGTTACTGAGATATCAATGTACGTTTAGAATTCAAGCATAATAAAATGTTAAAAATGTGCTTAGAGTTTATTTTAGGCAAACACCTGTTGAATCTGAGGAAAAGGAACATGTCTGAAGCTGCCAATGCATGAAACATGAAAAAGTTTGAAAGTGTTTGAGTGTGACATTTAAAACGGATAAGCCTGGAAAGGTGTTCTCCTTTTATGATGCTAAGAGGTCCTCCTGTGACTTTACCTCTCCCATGTCACTGTGCGTGTGTGCTCATGCATATATATATTGTCCTTTTCTGAAGTCCCTGTGATCCTGGCGAAATGACAGAGCATTCAAGTCAGACTCAGCTCAGAGAGTGAACCATGAGTAAATGCGAGGCTGGACTCTTGATGCTAAACAAATCATTGCATTAGCTGCAAAACTAACCCTAGAATTAATGAGCTGGTTGAGCCAGATGGAGGAAATCACAGAAATCTAAAGCAGCCAAGCAGCTGAAGAGCCGGATGGTTACATCAGGATTTGGTGAATACCAAAACAGATGTACTTTGGTACATTTACCCGGTGGCCAGAAAAAAGACTGCAGAAAGAATGCTCATGTTTCTCAATGTCTATTGATTATCTATCAAGTGAACTCTGTCACTAACTTTATCTACTTTATGATTACAACTTGTGCTGTTTGAAAAAATCAACAATGCAGATTTAACTTGCAGTATAGTCTAGTGTGTGTATACGCATTATTTTTATCAGGTATCACTTTTCTTGAAGGATTCTCTTTTACAAGGAAAATACTGCTGTAAAACTTCCAAAAGGCTTTGCTTTAAATATGTTTTTCAAATAGCTACACACATAAAATGTAGTTCAGCCTTGTGGCTGGCAGTGACCTGATTCTTAATGTATTTTTGCAGGACCTGACAGATTGCTGCTCATGGCGCTCACAGCTGCGATGTGGCTCTAAAAAGTGTTTGAAACAATATCACTTTCACAAAATTAAATTGCTTTTGGCTGTTCCTTTATCTCCCAAATTGTGAGAAACTTGAGAAAGGTGGAAATGAGAGTTTGCTGGTGAAAACAAACACAAAGAAAATTCTGCGTTAGGGCAGTAATGGGGCACCATCTCTGAGCCACGTGGAATACTTAAAAAAAAGCTTTCTTTAATCCTGCAGCTAAACTGATACAAAGACTCAGAACTAAGAACTAAGAGTTGAATGCCTTTGCTCCATCCTGCCCTCAGCCAGGCAGCACACCAGCATGCAGACAGATTTATTGTGAAAGACACTGATGCCAATTAAGTTTCAGAAAGTAAACTAATGATCACTGCTGCTGCCATTTGCCTTCCATCTACCAACAGGAATATATTTCTTACAACATCAGCAAATACTACAAGTGAAACAGATCTAATTCTATAAGAGAATACAGTGCTGCATTGTGTTATTTATTACCCAATGCAGTAGATATTACACAAGATTTCCGTTTTCAGGGTTATGGGTTGTAAAAACCTGTAGATCTATCCCAGGTCCGTCTACCTATCTTTCTGACTGTGCACTTGGCCTGCGCATTGACACGGGCCCAAGGAAGTTCAGTGCTAAAGTTGGACACATGATGAGTTTAATATGAATATAATTTTAATAAACAATGACAGTCTGCTGACCGAGTTGAACATGTCCTCTTCTACATCCTATGATAACCTACAATAGTGCTCTGCTGGCCTGGGGGTCAAAATTGCAGAACGGTCATTTTGATAATTTGATAATTTTTATTTCACCACATCGGACTGACACAGATATAGACAGGTGTCGTGGGTGCACGTCTCCATCACGACAATAACATTCATAGAATCAATTCCTTTATAGGAATTTGTCCATAAAGTAAAAACACAACGTTTGTTTCATAGCTGAAATGCTCTATATCAAGCTGGATACAGTTTTTATTAGAAACTGTGAAATTGACAGTTCAGTTAATCATTCAATTCATTAAGCGACAGCAGTGAAAAGTAGTATTTCAGTTTCACGTTATTAAAAACATTGACTGTAAAATTATCATTCCAGATAAAGTTTTCTAACTTCACTCTGCACCATAGGCTGTTCATTAAAAGCTCTGTGCACATCATCCAGCAAACAAATAATAAAAAATTGTCAGCATATTGGAGACTCACTAATGGCAAGGAATTATTTTAAAGTAGCTCAGGAGCATTAACACAGGCCAAGCAAACAGGGAAGTTTAAAACATGCACTGCACTAGTTTTTGTAATGTTAGAAAAGTAAAAACTTCAACAGGATAATTACATCAAAGACAAGAGCAAGGGTGAATTGTCCCTCCATTGAGTGATATTAATGTACAGATTACTGACATGCCAGGGGAGTGTCTGACACAGCATGAGCTCCGTCTGCAGAAGAGAAGACACAGTTGGGCCAGGTCTCCCTGCAGAAGACATCAAGTGCAGTTGTTGTTGTTGTTTAAGAGAGAATTCACAGCAGGGCAGACGTCTGTGCTCCTTGTCTGTTTACCATTGACAGAGAGCAGCAGCCTGTGTGATAGACAGTTTTACCAATCAGTCGAGCTGCTCAAGCACAAAACACCAGGGATCCCTGCCTGTTTACAGCCTCAGTGGACCAAAAAGCACAGGCCTCATTGGGTGACTGCCTCAGCTCTCCCCTTCCCTCTTTCACTCTCTCCCCCTCCCTCTAAATATGCCTCCTCCTCCGCTCTGGTGTCTCTTTATGCACTCCCCCAGTCTTTCATTTCTCTCTCTCTCATCTCTCTCCCACCATCTGATAGCTACTGTTGCTTCTTATCTCTGCCGAAACAGTTTGAAGCTATGCAGATACCTGCAAAATCACATGGTGCTGACATGAACCATTTAATGAAGCAAATTCAAGCCTACAGACAGTTCTATTTGTTGAATAGTGCAGCTACTGATGATGATCGATTTTATAGAGGCTGTTAAAATTCTGCAGGTTTTTACAAGTTTACCTTGATTAGTTGTAGTGTTTATATAGAGTTAACGACATAGAAGCGGGTTATTCTGTAAAGACAGAGCTGCTAACGCTGCTGCTGTTGTGTGTCGGTCCTCTGTAGGCGAGCACAAGCTGAGATAGAATTTTGGTTGGAATTAATAAGATTAATTTGACTTTCTCCTCTCCATGTGACTTCTAACCAAACGACTTCAGACAGCTGGTGTGTGAATGTGTGTGATACTTGTGACACTGTGGTGTGCGAGCTATAACAGGATTTCTGGTTTAGTAATATTTAGAGAATAATCCAACAAGTGATGATGTTCATGACGATGTGAGTGTTAGTCCAGGAAAAATTCCTCTCCAGCTGTCACATGCTGACTTTTATTTATCTGTATTCAGTCGACTGAAAACAAACCCGGACTCACAGTCAATCAGTGAATCACTCAGATCGATCAGCTGGTCAGTCACTGAGTCAATCACTCAGTCAATCACGGCTTGCCAAGAAGAGTCAGGGGTTTAATTAAATGAAAAACCTGATTAAATTAGTGGAGCAACGTGACAAATGCACATGCTTCCTTGGAGGGCACTAGTGGTCATAACGGTGCAAATCAAATGTGATCCATAGATCAACAGACTTTGATAGTGATGGTTCAGCATCTCACTCAGTTTTTCACACCTAATCAGTTAAATGCAGTTCAAACAAACTCAAATACATTTGCCCCCCTTGGTTGGTTTGGTTAGGTTGGTGTTCATGCTCTCAGTCGATCTGTGTTACAGATTTACAAATGCATTACAGGATTTCATGGGAATAGATCAGTGAATTAGCTTGTTAAATCCAACATAAGATCATTATCTGTATTTGTATCACCCCTTATTTTTAAGATCATTTGGTAACCATGGTAACATGTTTGTCAGGTACCCTTAAAAATTACATGAAAATAAACATTGGAACTCTCCCTCCATATCCCAATTTTCCCAGTTTGCTATTTATGATATAAAAGGTCTCTTTGCAGTCTCAACTAATACTTTGGATCAGTTCTTTCTTTGTGTCACCAGCGAATATTAAGTCAGGTACATATCAGTTGCATAACCTTTTGTCAATCACCATATATTGATTTCCCCACATCCTGGACCCAGGCGGCTGCAGTTCAATGCCTCCGTGCTGGGATGTTTTCATGTTGCCTGTCTGTTGTTCCCACTCTTGAGAGCATAATATCTCAAGATTATCTTGAGACAATTTGTGTTCAAATCTGGTACAAACATTCACTTGGACTAAGGGATGAAGTGATTCGATTTCCGTGGTCAAAGGTCAAGGTCACATGGCCTCATGTTCTTGTGAATTTGATTCATAAGGAACACCCACAGTGAATTTTGTTATATCAGGCACAAACATCCACTTAGAATTTGGCAAACAAAGGTTGTAGTCATTGTGAACTTACAAAGCAAGTTTTTGGTCTTGTAAACACGTTATCTTAAGAAAACCTCAAAGCAATCCTTCCAAATGTTCACTAAGGCTCACACATTAACTGATTTGATCTCAAACAAGATAGCTTAAGTCTGCCTTTTAGGGATTTCTACAATTTTCAATGATCAACTGATTTAATAACCATAAACATCACAAACATCTCAGACTTTCAGTTGTCCTTGTCACAACCAACATCACAACTCTATATTAAAATAAAAATTACCTCGGAGGGAGAAATTGTTATTCTTTGTCAGTTTTCATTCACAATGTCATTTCTGGTATATGTTTTCCCTCTGTCTTGCTGTTCTATATTCAGTGTTACTAAAGTTCAGCCATCTGCTTCTTTAAAGTCCCTGTGCCTCTCTGCTCTTTCTGAAGTGGAGAAGCAATAATTCCTCCCCTCTCTGTCTCTCTCCAGCTTTTTGATGGAATCGAGTGCGAGTTTCCCATATTTTTCATCTACATGATGATTGACGGTAAGCCTTGTTCTATCCATAGCTGCTTGTTGTGATGCCTTAAGTGGGTCATTGGGAAGACGGAAGACAGAAATTGCAATTTAGTGTTTGCCAAGATTTGGAGACCCTTTTCCCAAAAAATTTATTTGTGAGATATTTGTGTGCAAATGTAAGGGAATGATCAGAAAAAAGTAATAGTAGTAGTTTTTCAGAATAACGCTAATTGAAGGATCATTTAATCACCCTTATACCAGTTTATACGCCACAGACATTTTCAGAATTGAAACAAACTCAGTTCTCATCTCTGACTTTATGGGGATGATTCATCTTTATTGGACCATCATGTTTGAACAACTCAAGAAGCATAAAATGTATTTCAAACTGACCCAAAAAGCTAAACAATGTAATAGCAAAACTAAAAAATCAAATGCTGTAAAACTATCTTAAGTAGCTTCTGTGCAAATCTTAAAATATTGAAAATAGAGAAGTTCTGCTACAGTCACCAGCATCAGAAATGCCTCTCATACAGCCAAAATTGCATCTGTGAAAAAAATATTTCTTTCCTGGAAATCCCTTATTTTTAGCCGCCTCCAAAACATAAGTTGTGCTGTGCCACCACTGGCAAGTACTGTTTTTAGAGTGGTGAAAAATAAGTGATTTCTGGAAGTGTAGCGCTAGCCAGAGCTAGCTAAAATATCTGCAATTTGGCAATATATCACCCTGAAAATTCCCACAGGTAAAATGTGGATGTACAAGAATGATAACAATCATCCGTCTCTTACAGGATGAGGAGCATACAGCTGTTTACATTTTTTTATTAATTAATATTAATTTTATTTTTTGTTTTTTTACATTACTACTACAATACAGTTATCGTTATTGGTATCAGTAAAGGAAAAATAGTATCATTACATCTCTAATTAGAATGTCCTGTGACCGTGCCCTGAGAAGCCTGTCTCCCTTTTGGAGGCTCTGTCAACATTAATATTTACTTGACTGAGTTTAGCTTAAAAAAGCAGAGGCCTGATTGGGATAATTTGGTGGTCAATGGTCATTATTCAAATTGCTGTTCAGGCAGATACAGAGGGTTTGATTTGTGACACATTCAGCAGTACTTTAACATTAACACACAACACTTAAACACAAGCTCGTATAATTAACTTTTTTATTCTCTATTAACACTGGATAGAGTTACTGCAGTATGTGTATGAAACAGATGGTTCACAGAGATGAACCCAAATATTAAATATCATCCATGATCACTCAGCTTTACTAAGCATTTAAACATCTTTCAGCTCATTGTTCTGATTTTATGGCCCATGAGTTTCACCCTCACTGCTCTCAGCAGCCGTGCTTCAAGCTCCAGCAGGAGAAAAACACAATAGAGCACCTGCACAGCACCAAACACAGGGCGGACAGAGTTAGAGACTATAGCTGATGAATACAGGGGAGCATTTTTTAAATCCGCATACAGATGCATGCAAACATGCAAATGGGAAAACATAGACATGCATTTACGTATACAGTGTCCCATTCCCACATACGTGTACTGCATGTACTGCAGAACACGTTATTTGAAAGAATGATGATTTTTAAATGCTTTAGACAAACGATATGTGTCTTTAAAAAGTTCCGTCCTCGTGTGTGTGTTGCAGGGGTGTTTAGAGGAAATAAAGCTCAGGTCAAAGAATACCAGGAACTCCTTGAGCCCATCATCTTCCAGTCATATGAGGGTGAGTAATTCCTGATGGATGAAAACAAATTACACAACAACACACACTCAAACACGTATAACTTTATCTCATCAGACATCATTATGATTCACTTTGGAGCTTTGGAGTCGACTCCTGCTCCTTCCTAGCAATGAAAAACTTTCACTTATGAAATGGTGTCATCCATATTCATCCACCGCACGCTGTGACAGAGGCTCACAGAGGCGTTACATTAGAGTGAGCTCATCTTCTCCTCACGAGCAGAGTCTGGATTCTATATTCACCAGTGCCTGTAGCTGTGCAGGGAAACAGTAAAATGATGGGATGTCAGGAGCTTTGATTTTCTATCGGTCCGTTCATAATAGAACAGGTGATAATAATTGGAGAACAGAGAGGACCATGATGTGAGACAGAGCTGTCTCTTTACAGAATCATTGTTCTGATTATGTATGAATTTACCAGACTCCTGAAGTTATTGTCTGGGTTTTAAAGGCTATTACAATTAGAATTTCTTATTCTTTCTTGAATTCCAATGAAAAGTCGAAACCCGCAAATGTATTTGCTCATGTCAAAGGCTGCTATTGTCTTTCTGGTGCAGGTCCAACCGACCTCCCAGGAGTCATGGGCTCCCATTGCTATAGTGAATGGACATCTCACTCCAGTTGTCTCATCCTTTGATGTTTCTTTAAATAAGGTTAAATTCATACTGAACATATACATCTTCCTTTTAAATGTACTGGTACAGTTCTGCACCCAGTAACCAAAATGCTCTCTTATAATGAGACTAGTTGGCATTTCATTTCTCTTTTTGACACAGATCCTTTATTGAAAGTGTAATTTTAATGATGTTGTAGGTTTTGTCATATGTAGTTGAACAGACACAAAATACCCAGAAACATGAAACTCCTCAATTCCACATGCCCAGAACTGCAACTCTACATTGTGTGAAAGAGAAAGGGCTGCACATGGGTGCATTGTAGGAATGTGTGTGTGAAAGGGGGGGAACTGTGCAGTGAGTTGCTTCAAGTGCTCGTCAAGACTAGAAAAGTGCTATATAAATACAGACCATTAATTATTTACATTCTACTCATGTCAGCCAAATTCTATATAGAAAGGAAGTTATTTTGTTATATATTTGCCAAACCACTCAGTAACAAGTGACATTATCTGTCGCACTTCCCATGACACACAAGCTTTGGTTAAGAATCAGTATATTTAACATTTCTTAACATACAGAGTCATAAAGAACTATCGTCACCGAAAAAAAGAAATAATGAGTTTTTCAACATGGTTAGGATTATATGAAGAGACAGAGGTAGACAGCTCTTAGTTCAGGTGTTAGACCGAATAAATACGTTGCTGTCTGTATAGTCTGAAAATAAATGTTTGTGTATGTTTGTGACAGCTCAACAATTAATTAAGGTTTTATTAATTTGAAAAAGTAAAAAATGAAATTAATAATACGTACCTTGGCAGTCATTGTTGATAAGTTGGTGGGCTGCTATAAATGTATTTATTCGTGAGAAACAATGAGAAGTGTAAAAACATTTTCAGTTCATTATGAAACTGAAGCAGGTCCGAGGACATCAGCTGTGTTTGCAGCACCTCAATGTGACACAAGACAAATTTGCATTCATACTGCTTTGAGTGTGACTGTGGTGAGGATCTCATCTGTGTCCTCAGTCCGTCTTGGATGCGTTCACCACTGTACTTAGCTTTTGTATCATAAGAAAATGGTACCAAGCATAAAGAAGATGTCCCATGATGACTGTTGAAAAAAAAGTACTTTTCTAGTAAGTGAACTGTTGCTACTTATTTTCACTACTGACATCTTATTTGAGTATGGTTTCTGTAGTATAGTAGAAGGTGGTCCCTCCACACACACACACACACACACACACACACACACACACACACACACACACACTGCTCACAGTCCTTGTCCCTCATGCCAGGCCATGCTGTGATCCCCAAATACTACTACGTACCGGCCGATTTTGTGGAGGCGGAGCAGAACAAGCATGGGAGCCAGAAGCGTTTTCCGAGCAACTCTGGACGTGATGGGAAGGTCTTCCTGTGGGGTCAGGCCTTGTACAACATCGCCAAACTGCTGGGTATGTCAGTGTGTGTGTGTGTGTGTGTGTGTGTGTGTGTGTGTGTGTCTGTGTTTGTGTGTGAATTTCAGTCTGCAAGTTCATTAATAATGAAAAACTGATATATACAACATTTTGTGTTACAGAAGATAATCTAAATTTATGTAACATGTAAATGTTAATATTACATTTTTTTTATCACAGAGGATGCAGTTTGACTCATCCTTGTGTTTTTCATTCATGTAAAAAATAAGAAATACTCTTTAACATTTGTTTAACTTTAACACAACTTGTTTATGTGGGTGTGTGTTTTGTATTTCGGTTAATTGTTTTTATGTCTATGTTTGCATGTGTGCGTTCATATTCCAGTGGATGAGTTGATCAGCCCTAAAGATATTGATCCCATCCACCGCTACGTGCCCCGCCAGGACCAGCGTAATGTCAGCATGCGATACTCCAATCAGGTATAAGCTTTAATGTGACTGTGATTCACTGTCATCACTGGCTTTCATTCTCATTGTACTACTACATTCAAGTGCTCCTTGTAAATATGAGTGCAAATCAAGTAGATGTAATAGCTTTGTGCTGTAGAGAGTGGACTGCCCACTCATGATGGAAGGAAGTAAAAGCTCTATATTTGGAATTTATATGATACATCCAAGTAGTTCTATTTAGTAGTTTTTAAGATTAATCATAAGCTTGGTTGTGTCAGGATTTAAAAGTCAACTCTGATTGTTTGATCAAAAATCTTGACGGAGTGAAGCACTAGGAGAGTAATGCTGTCAGGCAAAGCAAATGTTAGTTGGCCGCAGGATCACGCAAATACTTCAAGTAAACACGCCACAATTTGAACAATCTCCTCCAGAGTAGAAAGGACTTCTGGTTGAAGTGGAAATGTCTGAGAAGCCTGCCAGGGCCCACAAGACAAGACTGTCTGAGAAGTCTTGTGGGATTTTACTGTCTCCTCTAGGAGCTGGGTCTGTGTAACCGTCTTTAGCGCTACCTGAGGCCGACTAGTGGTTAGTTTGATGACCTGCTAGTTCAGGTTGGTGCCAGGACCCGTCCTCAGGGAGTTTCATTCTCATTGCTGATTGGCTTTTGCAACATCGCATCACTCAAATGTTTTTTTTGCCTTGCTTGCTGCCGCCTCTTTCAGGTTTGTCACAAAAGCGCCATGTGTCATGGGATGTAGGTTGGGTTGGTAATGAGCCTCCATTGCTTCGGGTGTGGAAGGACACTGTCTAATTGGGAGAGTTGTGCCACTCTGACGCAGTCAGTCTTCAAATGCAGCCTCCGAAGGATGTGGAAACAACTTGAGGGCAGGAAGTGAAGATCTCTAAAATGAGGCGACACCAGAAATACTACAAAACAAAACAGGACATCCGTATGTGAAATAGCTAAAAACCATATATCATTCTAGCATGAGACGTGACAGTTATTGTATAAACAAAAACATGTGTTTTCCAAAAAGTACCGAACAACGTTAAGTAATTTATAAAATATATTATAGCAGTCTTGTTATTATATTCAGGGAGTTGAGCTGGATATAACTACCCCAACTGCCATCCTAACTTCAGGCATATTTGATTTATAGGTTCCACAGTTGAGTGTCAGATAACACACACTGATATCACCCTCACACCACTAGATAGATAAAAACCATGTGTTAGTGGTGGATGTATCCTCATGATCAGGCTGGATTTTTGTTCCTCAAACTGAGTGGAATGCATTTGTTCTTGACATGGAGTGACTTTGTCTCATTACACAACCCAGTGGGTAGTTAAATATGTCAGCTATGAGCGTAAGCTTTGGAGCTATGGAGTAACTTCCTAATACACAACAGGAAACACACATATGAAAAAAAACAACTCCACTTCTCTGCTACTACTCTGCTCACTTTGTTGTGTAATTCATGTGAGCTTAAGTTTTAATTATTTAATTCATCCTTCAACACATGAACAGCGTACTCTGTTTTCCACTTCGCCGAGAGGCCATTCTTGTAGATGAGAATGAACCCCAGTTCATTTCCCTGACAAACAGCGTCTCTGAACAGTGATGGTGTCTGAGGTTTAATCCATATCCGAGCAGCAGCTCTGAGCTTCACACAGATGAAGTGTGGAGATACGTGCACAGCGGCCTGACGGTTCATTCTCTTTGCTTTCCAGTGTGGATTGATATGTCCCATTCTGCTCCTGCACCCTGTGTTCAGTTCTGTTTTTTTGTAGCTGGGGTGATAAGATGGAGCTAGAATAAGAAGCAGCATAGGTCCACAGCAGTGGAATTTTTCTTCAGATAGGTTGCAGGGAGAAAGATCAACAGAGAAAACAAAGATTGGGGGTAACAGAGAAAGGCAGAGATGGATGGGAGCCTGACAGTCAGTAGAAAACATAACAGAAACAGAGAAAGAGTTAAACATTTGCCTCTAACATGCACAAATGTGTTTTTTAACGCTGCAGGGCAATTCAGTATTCATCACTGAAGGTCCTGATCATTGTTTTGTTCACGTTTTGGCATTTAAAGCTTGGTTTTAGAGTTTCAAGCTTCTAAAGGAAAAAAGGGCGAGGATTTCATTTCCACTAGAGCAAAATGTGTCTGTGTGGGCTGATTGTTTGGCCTGTGTTGGTCAAGTGTTGGCATTCACAAATGACCCATTACAGAAACAAACAGAATATACAACTGCCTTCTTTTTTTGTTCCAAATGCACCATTGGTGATTGCGGCCAAATAGCTCCATCTTGATTTCAGCTGTCCACAGCGTCTCCAAATCAACTCTTAGACGTTGCTTTGCAGACTTGCGACAGTAACGTTTGTGGTGAGGGTTCTTTCTGATGATGTGCACCACTCCAGTTTTGTTTGAAAGTTTTCTTGATCTTCAAGAACTTCTATTGTTCTTCTTCATATCAAGGTCTGGAATTTCGATGATTCATTGTGTTAATGTTATTATTCTTCACCTGCCATAAAACTCAGGCGTAATGAGATCTGAGAGTTTTACGACTACAAGGGTGCCACAGCTTTTGTATAGGTCACAGTGAGGGTTTAATTTTAGTTTCTTCTATTATCTAATTCATAAAACAGACAGTCTGATAACAAAAGGTCTGTTTGCTGCAAATGTTGCAACAATATGCAACATTTTCACATTAAAATAGTGGCTTCAAAATTAGTTTGATAATGACAATGACTTGAAATAGGGAAAATGGTTCCTCTTACATCCCCACTGCTCACCGTGGACATGTGTTCTTGCTCTAAAGAACTTTGATGAGCAGCTATGATTTCCCGTGAGAAGTGTTAACTCACTGTTAGTTGCAGCAAGATGCCAGAATCAGAATGAGGCCCAGCAAGTTCAAGAATAGTGCCAAGCTGTAGATCAGTCAAAGAGACATCAAAAACCAGTGAGGAATGTTAAAATGGGATTTATCATTAAAAGAATCAAGACAGTTTGGTCTACTTGTTGCAGCACTATTGGTTCGGGAGGCCAGGGATCATGGGTAATATCCACCGTTGTGTTTCAGTTAAGTGAGTGGTAGTAAATAGTCAACACACTGATGGGCCTTGTTTTTTCGCTACATGAAAACCACTTTATCACTCTGATGCGGAGCCCAACCGAATTAATCGTCATGCTGCATGACTGCAGATGTCGCTCTTGCTCTCTGAAAGCTGCAGAGTGTTGCTTTAATGTGTATTTGATCAGATTGATTGAGCTGCAGAAATACTCACTAGGGTACAAATATACTGCGTTTGGAAGTCATTGAGGATTTTTATGATTTTCTTTAATAGCTGTCGAGACCCTAAACTGGGATGAAACAGACAGCATTTTTCCATGTTAATATAAAATCATCATCAGCTTACTAGTGCTACATGATGCAGTGTGATGTTTCACTGGAAGGAAACAGGATGAATACATGCAGCGCCGCAATGCCGTTATAAATCCAGCCTCTCAAGTAGTATGCAGTGTGAGTAATGCCAGTCTCCCCTCAGGTAGGTAGGCTGCATATTTTGTCAAGATTATCTGAAGTTTCATCACAATACACTTTGTCAGGGCTGGATTTTCAGGCAGCATGATGGCCTGCTGTGAGCCCAGCCTGTAATGGCAGCAGGCAGCGCCCTGCATGCAGCCCATCAACAAAAGCCTATCACATCTAGTTTGATGTTTTCAGCCGCATGTGGTCCAAGCAAATAAATGTTTAAATGGATAGTTCTGCTTTGACTTCATTTCTGGAAGAGAAAAAACTAATATTGCAGGCGTGGTGCTTTGTTGCCAGTGAGGATGCACTCTCTTTTCATAGCCATTTTAAACGGAATCACACAACTTGTTAATTAGGTTATTAAAGAGCCGACAACTTGTGACTGACATTAATGCAAACCGTGAAGGCTTGTGTGCTCCATTTCATCAGTGAACAGGGTGTATCGGTGGGGAGGAGATGATGAATTCAGCCCACCCACTGGAGCGTCAAGGTGAATGTTTCAAACCGTAAATGGTTTGCTGCTGTCACATACGCTGTAGTGCACAGCGCCAATGGATAGGGGGACACAGAGGGAAGGGAAGAAGAAGGCTTGGTGATCATCAGATCCCTTATACCCTTCGAACCCCTCAGAGTCGGTGCAGTTAAAAACCCCCTCCATACTAATGCGCCTGAAAACATATATCAAGTGACCACTAGGCACGCACGTACCGGTGTAACAGGAATTGTTTGAATAATAACTCGTCTCCTACACATGAAAACAGTAGCAACATGGTAAAAAACGGAATTTCACTTCGCAACAGCTGTTAGCAAAGACAACAGGGTCACCAAAATTCATAATTGACTATCCATGTGGCGTTCTAAACTGAGAGCCGAGGCTAATGCCAGTTGTTTTCTCATGCAAAGGGTGTCATGTGATAGTAACCTGACAAATCTGCGAAGGTCATGTAAACGAAAAGACCAAATCAGGAAGCATTAGTGAGTGTCTATTCCATCGTTTCCACACATCTATGTTTCTGACTGTCCAGACTAAAACTCAGCTTCGGACTTTTCAAACTAAAACAGGGTCGCGCAGCAGCGATTCCAAACTTCTCTGTTGCAGCAGCTCTAAAGTCGATGCTTTTTATGAATTAAAACATAGTAGCGTGGGTGTAGCCAAATCCACTTCGTCTGTTCATCTGTTGTAACAGTGAAATCAGGAACTGCTTGTAGCAAAATATGAAGAAATATAAGTTCAAAGTGTAGCTACAGCATGCATTTATGAAAAGGGGCGATGAAAGAACACTTGAACGTGCGTGTGCTGCCAACGTTAATTCATAAGATGGAAATTTTGTCTTGCTCAGAAAGAGAATTTCATTCAAAAGAGTTCATGCTATCTAGAAAGAGCTGCCACTAACCAGAGGGTCAGCGGTTCAATCACAGACGCCTCCAGTCCGCATTCTAAAGTGTCCTTGGGAAAGATGCTAAACACCGAAATACTCCTGACTTCTGTGTTGGCAGTTTGTT